AAACGCCACTGGGAGCAAGAAACCCTCGCCCCAATATGCTCCCATCACAATAAACGCCAAACGATAATGCAGCCAGGCACACCGCACCCACGTTAAAATCAAGTGTCATGTTGGCCAAGTTGATAGAGTGGTGAAAATTGATAATAAAACCCCTCCAAATATGCCACGTTTTTAAAATGCCTTGCATTGGTGTTTAATCAATAATATCATAAATTTAAAATAATTGAATTAGGGTGAAATACAAAATATATAATACAATTACAACTGTGCAATTGTTGATGCTCTTCTCAATTTTGTTGAATCTTACTGTCATCACTACTTTCACACCAGAGAACACTTTTGCATGATTGACATTTGTGACCATCTAGGCAGTGGTGGGTCCACTACCTTCCACAACCTTCCACGACCTTCCATGACCTTCCACGACCTTCCATGACCTTCCACGACCTTCCATGACCTTGCTTTGATGTTCTCTGGCAGTGACCCGTGCTGGTGTGAGTCTGTGGGTGTGACACCGGGACAGCTCCAGCCTGCAGGTAGCCTCATGTTTTCACATGTTATATAAAGTATATCTATTTTCTGACCACCCATACTTATTGGGACTGAGTCAATGAACGCGTAATTGGGCTCTGGTTATCCTGCCTCATGCTAACGGCAGCTAGCTGCGGCTAAGTGCTAATGCTAACATACAGTCTGTGGTGCTAATCTTGTTTATTGAATGCTGCAGCTGGGCTCATTCATATTTCCACAGTTTGTGTTTATGTTGTTAGTCATTTGAAGGAGTGCTTTGTGAACAAATAGTCAAACTATTTTACTTAAAATTGTATTTGTAGTACTGCTTATTTATTTTAGAAGGAGCAAACAGCGCTTAAAATGTAATCTAGTAATAACCAGCTTATAGTGCTAGCAGCTACCATTCATTCATTCATTTTCCAAAAAAAATTGACTCAGATAATAATACAAAACCTGTTTAACAACCAGTTCTGTGTAACAAGAGTGGGCTAGAAATCCTGTCCAAATGAATCTAAGTTCAAATCCTCCACACAATCTGAACTAAATCAGATCATACCAGCTACAGGTTCTGAGTACAAGACCTCAGGTTCCTTTAAAGCTGCACTAACTGACTTTATTTTTGTATTCATTACGAAAATGCTATCCATGTCCATGTAGTGCATTGGGATATACGTCCTTTTGAAGAAAAAGTAACGCAGGTTTGTGCTGGCGTGACATTATATTTTAGATTGAGTTTTGATGAAACAAGGAAGAGAATGTGTTTCGGGTCGCGGATTGTGACCAATCACAGCGGACCACTGGCCCCCACTTTTGTGAGAAATCTACAGGTCCGTTAGCACAGACAGCTGAGTTAGCACAACAAGTCGAGAAGCTAACCTGAAGCTTCCTCGTCTTCGTTACTGCTTACACAGCGAGACAGCCATCCAAAAGAAAGTCTCGTTCCTCCGCGCTTCCCGGTTCTATCGTTCTATAGTTACGCCATCCTCGTGCAAATCCATATTCATGTATTATCCATATTGGGAGACGCTAGCTCCGTCAACAACAGTGGGTGTGTGTGGGGGGCGATAGCTTCGTGAGTGCGGGGAGGGGAGCAGAAAGAGAAAGGCCAGCGAGTCCACGGCTTCAAAATCCCAAAGTCAGTTAGTGCAGCTTTAAGAGACCTCAGGCTAATTCCTGGATCATCATTCCTGGACGGCAGTAGTTACATTTTAGAGAACCCTGTATGTGATACGTATAGATTTTAAAATTAGAGTAATTAGGACTATCTTGTTAACTTGGCAAGAGCCAGATTGATGATTTTGTAGAACTCTAATGCGTTCTCCACAATATCAATCTGGGACTTCTGCAGGAGAATCCTTTCGGGGAAAGTAGGGATAAGCAGCAGAATACTTCAAGCTGATTTGGCGAAAACGGACCAAAACCCATAGGTAAAAATGCACAAACATCTTTGCCGTCCAGAAATGCACAAAGCGCCTCTTGCCGTTCATCTTTCAAAAAAGAAATTGGAGATTCTGCTAAAACTGACTTGATTGCCTCAGCTACGCGTCCGTCCTCCTGCGTAGCCATGTTTGTTTTGCTTCGGCCCGGCACTTCTTGCTTTCGTCAAACCCGGATATCCCGCCCTACACCCCCAGACTGGCGCGTGATTAGCTTGAACACCTAGATGTTCTACTCGAAAAGGGTTGGCAGGAGCGGGACAAGATGTATTCTCGAGTGTTTGTGAACAAATACCGCGAGAATTCAGCTTGCAGGCTAGGTTACTATCTGGTGGGTACAGGTCAGAAGCCTCACTGCAGAGTTTTGACTAGTTTTTAACCACTGTTCTTTGAGCCAAATCTTTATCAAATTAGAAAAGCATGAGACCTTGTGTCCGAGCTTTGAATAATTGCGCAATCAAAACAAAAATCTTGGTTAAACTTGCTCTTGTGAGTTGATACTAGTTTGTAGCGGTCGTTTTTGCAATGATGGGCTGACGCGCTGGTATTCTACAGGCTGGATGCTCTGTCTCTCTGGGCTCCATGATGGTAAAGTAATTGCATCGCAATTGCAATGTTGGTAAGAAATGAGTCAAAAACTCCATATATAATACTCAGTTCAGTGCAGTACATTCATTATTATGACAGTACATTACAAGAAATTTACTGCCATTGTAAAGTTGTCTTGGGTCTGAAGCACAGATTTATTGATTACGGCATCAAAAGAAAACGACAAAGCAATCGGTATGGACCAAAGAAAAACACATTTTCAATGTAAGTTTTTACCTTCAAACGGGCTGCATCCTCTTTTTTCGGGCTACTTTTCTGCTTACACACGGACGCAAGGCATGCTCCTTCATTAGCCCTTCATAACAACGCCTTGCTCTGCACTTCCACGCGATACCCAGACACTCTTCCAGCGCAATTTACACTCTCGACAATTATAGCTTCGCCAGATACGGTGTGGGCCCCTCCTTCTTGACCTCCAGACCTTTGCCTTGACGTGAGCCAAAAGCGTGCTAGCTGATTAACGGCGAGCCCTCTCCCCAAACCGAGGTGACACTGACGCCGTATGCGCTATATGGAAATGAGCAGGTGAAAAAAATACACACACACATCCAATTAGACCTGTGTTAAGAAGGGACAAAAAAAGCTTGCGGCAAATTAATGTGAGGACTGTGGCCTGCTGGAGGAGAGGGTCCATCTAACACAGCGACATTTTAAAAGCATCCAGACAAGCGGTCTAAATTATACCAAAGAAGAGGTGAGTTACTTTAGTTTGGACGCAGATGAAACGGGATAAGTATGATTATAGAGTGCAAATACGGTGTTTGGAATGTTTCAAAGTGGTAAGATTCAGTAGATTCAAATTGTCTGATTGAGCTTATAGAGTACAGAAACTCAATTCTGAAATTCAACACATGAAGCTGTTATCAAATGTGCATCTCAGGCTCTGCTATGGGACCCCTGGGTATTGTATGTGACTGTTGCCATTAAAAGCCCAATATAATGAACTAAGTCAAAGAAATTACATAAGAATTCTTTTTCCTCTTGGATGTTTTAATTGCACATTTTGTAAAAGCATAGTTGCTGTGAGCATTCCCACTTACCTGGTCATGTTGTTCCTTTGATAATGACCTTTTTCTGTGCTCTGTGTTCGGAATCCACACTATCCTATCAACGTCCACTTTCCACTAGAATGTCCCATGTCCATCCTGAATTGCTGTGATAAATACTGACTGACGTTTATAGACTCATTTTAGTCCTACAACAAGTACTTGTCAAGATGGCAATATGGGACTCTATTTTTTGTTTTTGTAATTCTCAGCCGGCCTGGTCGCAGGATTCCCCCAAATGAGCCGGAGGAAATATGTGGCGAGAGAAGTCTGCTCCCTCTGTGAGCTGGCAACGGATAAAGTAGAAGATGAATGGATTTATAGTATGTTTAGCTTTTTCCCAAAGAAGATTGGATACTGTACGGCAAGGTAAGCGGCTAACCTGAGCTTCTGTACGCCCAACTGTTTCATTCATAATATCCGGTCAACATTTCAGGTGTGTGAAAACACCTATTCTTTTGGCTTTCATGTCCTGGTGTCTTGATGTCTTGTCACTATTGACCATGCAGAAAACCTGTTTTTAATTATTTAATGTTCTACAAACTTCCCAAAAGTAATACAGATAAGGTGTGCTTAGCCCATACAACAGGTCAGACCATCCATATCACACAAACAAGCTTGGTATATTTAAGGTTTTACTCAAAATATATTTCCTCTTAAAAGTTTAAAATGTAAAGCCTGAGTAAACTGACATCTGCTTTTCATTTGGGCTACTCATTTTTGAATTTGACGTAGCTCAATGTTTCTGATGTCATGTGTCTTTTCCATTTGACCCTTCTGGCAATGCCGCTAGGGCCTCTGTCAGGAGCTACAGTACAACCTAGGGGACCCAGATATGACGTTTGCGGGAGAATTGCAGCCATGGTGCATGTTTTGGGGGATGCAGGAAACCGGTGCGCCCAGAGGAAACCCACCTGGTCACAGGGAGAAGCATGCACAGACTCCACACAGGCAGGGAAATCGAACAATCCTCTTGCTGTGAGGCATGAGTATTATCCACTCAATCACTGTACTATTGTGAATGCTTTCCACTTGTTATCATAACCTGTAAACCTCACACTCACTTTAAGAACCAAAATGAAAGCAAATAATGCAGAATGTTAGTAGAAGATTAAACATGCATTCCCTGTAACGCCATACTTAAAGGGTACAAACATTTTACCACTGAACTGTTTCTATAGCAACAGCACTGTATACAGGTTGAGGATCGGCATACTGGGGCCACGGCGGGAGTGGATTTACGCCCTTGTTTACGCACCAAACTTTCCCAGGTCCCGCACCTTTTCTTCCTTACGCGCAGCGCCCTTTCTCCAGCCCCCGCCGCTAAAGCCCTGCCCTGAGCTGCTACGCTGTCTTAATTTCCCTCTTTTCTGCGGTCAGCGTGGAAGCGACAGCATTAGCGCGGGTGGGAGGGTCTCGGGGAAGTAGCAAAGGCCGGAGTCTGGAGGAAATCTACTCTTTCTTTGGAGAGAATGTCATGGCAGAGATAGGAGATTGGCACCACAAAGAGCGCGGAGTAGCACGGCTGATACGCAACGTCAGGCCACATTTGGGCTGAGACGTTGACTTTTGTTCTGGCCCCTGAAAAGGAGATGGGAGGTGTTAAAATTGTGGTTGCCGCGCTCCAGCCGTGGTTATGTGGGGTATATTAGCTTTGAGAATATGCACGCTATACGCAGTGCGGGTGGAAAATGTCACAATGGTTGGGATTTTGGAGGTAGAATTCAGTTTGCTGGTTAAAGTAATTTTTTTCTCCCCACATTTACTTAAAGGACAAGCTAAATAATCTGAGTTTTTAACCATGTTACGCCATTTTTCCACCTGAAATACTGAGTTGAACTTGTTTATTCCTCCAACCACTATATCAGGAACTTCTGGCCTGAACTGAAACGCGTACCCTGCCCCTTCTGTCTAAATTCTTCTTTTTAAAAGGTTTTTGCACTATAAGGTCAAGGATACATCGACCTTTCCCCTCTAAACTAGTTTGAGGATATATCCAGGAGAATGATGAAATCTGCTATGTCAGAATATAGTTTCTCACTTTGATGACTTATTGCTATATCCGTGCACGTTAATGAACACACCTCTCCTGATCCAAGTTTGAACATGTTTTAGTTCTTCCGGTAAGTTGTTCCAAAGATAAACTCTTGCATTGAGATACACATTTAAATTTAAAGTCGTTCTAAATAAGGAAGCAATCTATTATCACCAACTTTACCATTATGACGAAGCAAGAATTAAGCACACAATCTTTGACTTTAGCATGATAAAGAAGTTTAAAAATCTCTACTTTTGGCCTAATAAAAAATCAAGTAAAAAAATATTGTATATTCTAGAGATGCACCGATCCAGCTTTTTTACTACCGATACCGATACCTATACCAGAGCTATGGGTATCTGCCGATACCGATATTGACCGATACGGAAATGATCATGCTAAAATGTATTTAATAATTGAACTCTTTGTTCAAGTAACTACAAAAGCAGTGGATGAACTAAAGCGCTAAACTTTCCAGATAAAAATGGATTCAACATAAATGTGCAATAATGCACCTATAAAGAGCTGCTCAATGTTCACATTAAACATTCCAACACTGTATTATACCTTATACATTTATTGAATATAAATGTACTTATATTAACTGTGTTTGAGTAAAAAAACACAACAAACAAAACACGCTGCATGAAAATGTAAATAAATAATAGTACAGTAGCTTTAACTGGATTTCAGATATGTATTTGGCGACGGCATGTACCTGGGTTCCAAATGGTCTATATAATTTTAAAACAAAAACTAAAAGAAAATGGATCGGCAGCACGGCGCCTCTCTCTACGCAGATATCCGATCCAGTATTTTTCTGGTATCGGCGCCGATATCGATACCAGTATCGGATCGGTGCATCCCTAGTATATTCTAGCACAAGAAATAAATAGTTGTATGTTTACATCTGTACATGTTAGCAGCCTCAGGGTATGAGACAAAGTGACATTGGACACATGTGGTTTCAATGTTGCCAAAACAATTCAATGTTTTAATAAATTCTTTCATATTGCAGCAGAACAACAACAACAAAGCTCAGGCGTGATGTGGCGTGTGCAAGTCTGCGCTGGAAGAACCTTTTCTGTAAGTGAGTTGTTTTGTTCAAGTTTTGTAGTGCAGCAAGCTGTATGATGAGTTGAAAGGCTCGGTGATGTGGAACTGTAACAAGATTGAATTTAATAGATTACATAATATTTGTAGAAAATATAAATATGATTGCTTGTGCTTTTAACACCAGTTAAAGTACGTGAATCCACATATAAAGGTTATAATAGATCAGAAGTGTGAGAGCAGAGAGGGATAGGAGACTGCGACAGGAAGGGGGCTGTGAGGGGCAGTGGTGAGACTCTCTGACTCTCCTAAACCAATGTGAAACTCTGTTACGCTCTTACATAAATCTGACGATGCACATGCCAATAAGGTCCCCCTCCAAAAATAAAGGATTCATCTTATGGGACAAGCCATAATAAATACAGGCATGAATAATCCAGATTGGGTTGAATTGAAATTGCAATCAATCGATCTTTAGATTTTTGGCACAAATCTAAAATGTGTTCATCTGTGTGTCTGTGTCTGTGCGTTTATGTGTTGTGTTTGTGTGTGTGTGTGGCGGGGGATTGTTTATTTGTTGTTTGGGATGGGTCTCTTGAATGGGTAGATGGTTAAATGATTTGAATGAACTGTAATCACTTTTCACTGCATTGTGAAATATCCAAAGCACTGTATAAATAATTAGTGATTGATTGACTTGATACTGTAAGCAGTAGTTTAACGATAATGCCTTAAGTTGAATTTATAATCGAGTGATAGAAGTGGTGGCATGCAGAGAAAGTGATTTAATCAGAGTTATACCCAAAGATAAATAAGAGACAAAAGTTGGAAAAATAATTGGTGTCCAAGAGTTTGAGAGTGGCTTTTGGAGAGTAGTGGTTGAGAGACGTATTTGTGACAGAAGTTCCGGATTTTTGTATGGATGGAACTAAAAACAGCTCCAGGTCTGTTTGTGTATTTTTGAGGCCAAACTTTCTGTGTGCAACGTACTGTATACAGTAGAACCCCTTTGTATTTGCAAAATTGTTCCATTACGCGTTCCTTATTATCTTTCCATCATCTTTCCATTTACTGCCATTTGCAGTAAAACCAATGTGGTTTTACTGCAAATGCCAAATAAATGAATGGAATCTGAAATGATTGATTGAAGCAGCAGTATAATATTGTGAAATAGTAGAACATGTAATGACGATGATACCAGTAGCGGCATGGAGAGAAAGTAATTTAATCAGAGATAATCCCAAAGTTGGAAAAATAATTGGTATCCAAGAGTTTGAGAGTGGACAGTGTTATTATCTAATGAAACAACATGAACACACATTTGTTGATACACATATGAATGTATTGAACAGATTTTCTTTTTGTCAAGAAGAGCACATTTGGGACCAACACTGCCCTGATGTCCATAAAGCCAACCCCTAACGCGGCTTACTCTGCACTCCGTAACGGGATTAGGCCCTATTTCTACAAATGTACAAAAACACAGATCACATGGTGCAGCTTAGGACTGCGCCGATCGCTTCTCCAAGGCCCAGCGATCAAAGAGCGAGAACTGTGACCTCGGCTCCAGCGTCTCTAATCAAAGGGTTAATCCTCAAAGGTGACCATTGAGAGGCGCCCAGTGTGAACGAGTGGGTCATCGGTGCTGAAGGAGCAGTTGGCCAAAGCTCCAGGACACAGGTCTAAAGTCATAGAAGGTTACCCTTCTCTCTGAGTTTAATGATATGTACAGTATGCATAAGTAAGCCAGTTTATCGCAAACCAGTAAGAAAGATCCCAACGTGTGTCTGTTTGATGTTTGGGCTGAGAGTTGATGGACAACTCCATCAAGGGGCTTAACATACATATGTATTCACCAAACTATTTAAAGAAGAACAAGACATATGGATTTCAATACATAATTAGGCATCCCACTCCCGACTAGGTTTTTACTTTAGACACAACATCCATAAATGCATATCACATATACATTTATAATACACATACATTTCAGCAAAAGTATGAGTAAAAAAATAAAGTTTGCGTAAGAAATAGTAACATGACCTAGGGCTAGGCGATATGGAACAAAAATACACCTTGATATATGATATATATCTTGGATTTGTACTCTCCAAAAACTACCGCAAAAAACAACAATGCCTAATGCCTTTTATTTTATTTTATTGAACCTCAAAGAGTCAGTTCAAGTAGGAACATAGTGCTGTATGTATGTCCACTGCTTAATGAAATCCCACGGACCCACTTTGGCCTTCTTTCATATTCTTCACTTTTGTGAAGAATATCGCCAGCGAGCATGATATGAATACATCCATGCCTCTGAGCTAAGCGTGCGCCGCAATGTTGAATGAGACGCGAACGGAGGGGGAGCAAAAGCAAAGAGGCAGACGGGTTCAGCCCCCCCGGCCCACAGAGAAGGCAAACAAGCAAAATGGTGAAAGTTATACATGTCAACATTCATATTAAAGCTGCACTAACTCACTTTGTGACATTTTCGATTGTGAGCGCTGGCCTCGCTCTTTCTGCCTCCCCTCCCCGCACTCACGAAGCTTTCACCCGCCACTTCCCCCCTCCCACTTAGTCTGTGCTCATGTACTAATTGTTTACGGACCATAGTATGATAGAACCGGGAAGCGCAGAGGAACGAGACTTTCTTTTGGATGGCTGTGTAAGCAGTAACCGGTAATGAAGACACTGGAAGTTTCAGGTTAGCCTCCGCCGCTTGTTTACCTCAGCTGTCTGTGCTAAAGAGAGACCTGTAGATTTTCTCGAGAAAGTAGGGGCCAGTTGGTCCGCTGTGATGGGTCACAATCTGGTCCCGAAACAAATTCTCTTCCTCGATCTAAAATAAAATGACGCGGCAGCACAAACCTGCACTACTTATTGTTCAAAAGGACGTATATCCCAATGCATTGCATGGATATGGATTTAATTTTTGTAATGAATACAAAAATAAAGTGAGGTAATGCAGCTTTAAGATATGGTAAACAACAAGATATCGCCCAGCCCTATGTTGAACAATGCTTACCTTCTCGGCTGCCAACCAATCAGTGTGTCTGTCAATCACAGACACACACAGTCTTGTCAATCCATACATCTGTTCCGAGCTTCAGCCTGTCTCCAGTACGTGCTCAAAGTTTGTTCTCCATCAAGGTGCTTTCACACCGCTGACGCCTCGCGCACCAGATGCACATTCTCTAGTTTTCAGATGCAGGGGTCTTCACACCAGAAGTCCTGGCCAGCGGTGGCGCGCGCCGGATGTGGCGGAAGTAGAAGCTAACGAAGTTAAGCAAGCGCCTTTTTGTGTAAAGTTCTTCTCCAATAATGCAGCTCTGCAGCGACCTTCCAGAGACTTTATATAACAGCAGTATGTGTTCACAGATGTACGGCATACGTTTAAACGGTACTCCCGCATCGGCGAACACACTCGAAGCAGTTGCATAAAGTCACGGGAGCATGAAAACGCATATGTTCACAAGCACTATGTCCCCATTGTCAACCCTGGTTTTAGTCCTGGTATAGCTCCTGTTTTGGCTGTTTATGAGTATGTTCAGTCTGCTCGCTCAGACCGCTAATGTCCCCGTGACCACTTTGCGGCTCTCTGGTCACTGCACGAGCGTCCGAGGAAACGCTCAGCAAAATGTATCTCCTGCGTGCGTCGATTTACCGCTCCTGCACCTCCCCCGCGCCTTTGCTGCGCAGTCCGTGCGTGCATTCCGAGACGCACATGCATTTCGACGCTCGAACATGCATCACCATCAACTTTGCATCGAAAGCCGACGCAACGCATGATCCGGTGTGAAAGCAGCTTCACTCTTATTGCATTAAATTTGGCAAGGCACAAACTCTCACACTCTCAACTTACCAATACATCAAAACAAATAATCGCTTAACTCTAGAACTTCAGAAAAGTCAATTTGACGGCTTTTAGCTTTAGATGCGTAATTACTAGGCGTATGTGCTTTCTTGGTCTTTAAAACTTTGTGACTTTTCTGCTTCTATATGTAGTTTATTTCTATATTTCATTATTTTTGATGATCTGTATTTTTTGAAATGTCAGGAGCCTCACCCAACTTTACTCCAGAACAGTAATTTTGACTGCTCCATTCATTTGAATGAAAAAAGGTATAAAACCTGATTGGGAGCATTCAAAATGACGGCTCTGAACTCGTAGAGCCATAAAGCCGACTCTCAGAATTCTGGGAGTCCTACTGTAAACAAATCAAAGAGCGAGCTAAGTTCCAGCCGTAGACTTTGAGCGACATGAAGTTGTTTCAAAGCAGTCTCCATTCACAAAGAGAAAAGAATGACAAACTCAAAATAGTCTTGGTCGAAGAGGTTCCATCTTGCTACTGCAGTAATTAGGAAAAAGCTAATCAGTGAGCCAGCTCCCGTAGCAGCAGAATTAATCAGCGAGCTATTGACATTACACCGCGCCACACTTATCATTCATACGCTTTATGTTAATTGGACATTTCACGGGAAGGAATTAAGGTGTGCGCGACTGCCGACAAAATGAATAGAACCAAAACAAACATTAATCACATGCGAATAATAACATTTCAACTGTTGGTGAAACAAAGACATGAGCGTATCTGTGTCGGCTTTACGCAGCCCTGACGGAAATTCATTTACAGCGCAATTATTTACACACGGCTGATGAGAATGTGCGGCTTAATTAAACTGTGAGAGCTAACGATGGGCGAGGCAGGTTAATACAATTATTACAATACATAAATGAATCCATATTGAATAGTTCTCTTGTGGAAAAGAACAGGAGGGTGGCTGGGTTAGCTCCTGTTTTTTATGTTGTGATGAAGGGTAGCAAAGGAAAGGAAAGGAGTTTTTGAGAGAAACAAATCTGAAAACAAGTTTGTAAATTGCACTAGTTTGTGCCAAGCATGGGCATATTTTACAGGTCCATTGAATGGTTCCCCTGAAAACATTCAAATTATTTTTGTATAGCCCTAATTCACTTTAAAATGGTCATGAATCAAACAGTTTGAACACAATTATAATGTAATTCCATAATAATAAACACATTTAGACAGAGCCAACTCTGTCTAAATGCTATGTTTTCAAATTGTTATGCAATGATGATGGACAGAGCTGTTTGACAATATGCTGACATCAATCTTACATTGATATTCCTCACCTACATTTTGAAATCTGACAATAGGGCTGCAGCTATCATTGTTATAGTAATCAAATATTCTATATTACCTTCAGTCAATTAAATCCTCAACAAGCTTAACTACATATTAAATGAGTGTATTTAAACAAATAAGCCATGTTCATATCACATTGAAATTCCTTAATTACAAAATCTGATTGTCTTCAGAGCCATGCAGAAACATTTGTAGTATATGCTATGAAATTGTAATCATAGCAATAAAACTGTAATATAATATTTTGATTGCCATACTTAATTAACCTTACACAAGTTTATTAGAATGGTATCAAACGCTTCACTCCGAGAGAGGCGACTTCATTCACAATTCTTACACCGGCTTATACTTACCATACTTAAAAGACATGCAAACATGGCTTTGTGCTCCTCAAAAGTTTGCACTAATGCCTGTGCTTAGTCGAGTTGTTATTTATCACTCCAAAAATGAATGTTATGAGAATAGTTCACAGGATGGATTATTTAATTTCATCAAGTGGGGTGGCCGTAGAACCACAAATCCTTAACCATAGTTCCTGTGTTTACATGTACTCAAACATTTGGTTTGAATTGAACAAGTCCACTTCTCTTTAGCTTGTACCTGTTTGCTGTATGCATTTTGTACACTAATGTATTTTCAGCTAAAAGGCCATGTTTAGCTCACCCTCTGCAGCCTGAACACTGTAAACCCAGATAAGTTCAGACTACTCAATTCACATTAGGAAACCGATTCCACGCAAATGGATTGAGTTTTTGACCTAAGGCAAATAATGAATTGATTAAGTAGTGTAAACTTACAAAGTAAAACAAAACACAAATTACTATTTGGAGTCATAGCCAGTTGATGTGTTCAAGTTTTCCAATTTTAGAACTAATATGTGTGTTAAGTTAACTTAACTTGTTAGGGGAAGTACTAATATAAAACTTTATTATTTCAGTAGTGTCAATATTAGAAAACTCAAAAGTTTGCGTACTTTAAAGCTCGTATTTAATTAAAGCTAACTTAAAATGTCAAAGCAAACACACTCAATACCTCAATATCAACAAGGACATGCTAATGACCAGAAAAGGCAGTTTTTTAAAAAGCAATTTTATTCAAAATTGCTTTGTCCCAGAATTTGTTCATGCACTTATGGTTCTCCAAGTGATGGGCGTACAGTAAGTCAGTCCAAACAAGAAACACTTTCCCAAAGGAAGACTGCAGTATCCAGAAGGATGCCAACTTCTTGCTCTGGACTTGAATTTTCACCATTGAATATGATTTCTATGGGGATGTGGGTCACCATCAGCAGCATTCTGCAAAGGGGAAACAAGAAGAAACAGTGAGTTCCCTGTTTGTGGAGAGTAACGCAAGTCCAATCCAAGTATTGTATAGTACAATATTTTCGATTTAAAAAGGTTTATAGGAGGATTATCTTCTTCCGGGTGGATCATCAAGACTATTGGTCCTCCCAATTCTCAAACATTCTGGTGATTTTTGCTTGTCAAATAAGACCAGAGAGTTTTGTTCAAAAGTGGAGAGGGCGGTTCTTTCCTATAAGAAGCTCATTCACATGTGTGAAAACATCCTAATATGTGTTTTGAGTTGTATCTGTTTTTTTATGTTTTAGGATTTGGAAAACACATCAAGCAGTAAAAGAAAAAATAAAATTCCAATATTCAAACTTACTTTATGACTTGTGAAGAACTTAAAGGCATTGTCCCCAAGAAGAATAGGAAGCCCTCTGTATGGTCCGAACATCTGTTGACAGTGGGTTCCATGCTCTGCAAAAAGTTACAACAGACATTTACCACATCTAATCATGAGAAGAGACACGCTGCACCAAGATTAAATTATGAGGCCAACAATCCGGCATGACCACTTCAGCTCTGAAGGAGAAAGGAAAACATTTTAAATTAATATATGTTACTTTGAGCAACCATATCGCCCAAACCCCACAACAGTTCTGTGTAACCTTATCTTTGCAATAAATATAAGATTAAAAGGATCTAAATATAATATAAAAGTGTCACACCAGCTTGCATGGACTTTACATTCCCTGAGCTCCCTAAACAGGTTGTCAACCGCACTTTCCATGTGGTCAGGTGTTCAGAACCCGGGAGAAACAACATTTGTGAAAGTGAATTGATACATTTTTATTCTAATTATTTTTCAAACGTGTGCGTTCCCACTGCAGCAGCGGTGGTTCTGCCACGGCGGACTGAGGAGGAGGCAGAGGGCGCATACACCTCAGCTGTTCAGCGCCGCAGGTGGACCACAGGACTATCCTTCTTTCTTCTCCTGCTTATTTCTCCTCCCGCTCCCACAATCACTTTGACACCACCAGCGAAAGTGCGCGCACTGAACTAACCGCCCTCTTCAGTACAAAGTAAAGACTTGATTCTCAGGTTTGCAGCAGTGGCACCGGAGTTAGCTTAGCTTAGCTTACATTTCAAGCCTCCAGCCGGCTCAGCAACATGAGCGACCAGCTCCCGTGCTTTTCCCAAGGACGCTGGAGCGGACTCTCCGCGTGGCTCCTGCTGGTCCCCTTTCTGCTCCTGCTGGTCCCCTTTCTGCTCCTGCTGGTCCCTTCTCTGCTCCTGCTGGTCCCTTCTCTGCTCCTGCTGGTCTCCTCTCTGCTCCAGCGTCTGTGGGAAAAGCATGGTAGCAGATCGCTAACGTCGCTAAGTCACTGGAGTCCGGTGTAACATGTGTGCAAGCTTCAGTGACAGAGACTGGCTACGTGTACCGTAAATAATAAAAAGTGCAAGAAAATAACCTAGTCTAAAAAATTTGAACAAAAAAAGACTCAAAACAATGTTCAGGAGATTACATTAGCTTGTGCAGTTGCATAATGTAAAATATATTTTAAAAACAAATACTAAATACAAAGATTTAACTCACCTTTGACTTGAGGAGGCGTGCGCTCTATCAACTATAGACTGAAAAAACACGTTCAAGTCCGAGGAAAACATCAATAAACTACTTATACTTGAAAGATTCAAACAAACGACTCTGCCCAGACATGTCCCTGGTTCCAGTGCTGGGAAAAATACGGGAGGAGCTATGAAAACTTAATTATAGTGAAAGTGCTTTCAACTTAAAGGTTGTAGTAGTGATCTCATTTACTTGTTTATTTGAGTGTTGACTTCAAAACTCATTCTCTTACATACGGAAGCTTGTTAGGTTTACTTGTGAGTGTTTTTTTTTTTCGCTGGTATCATGTTATTTCATGATACTTTCATGAAATAACATGATAAATATCATGTTATTTCATGATACACAACTATCATGTTATTTCATGATACCAATTTATCATGTTATTTCATGATACCAATTTATCATGTTATTTCATGATACACAACTATCATGTTATTTCATGATACACAACTATCATGTTATTTCATGATACAAAACTATCATGTTATTTCCTGATACACAACTATCACGTTATTTCATGATACACAACTATCATGTTATTTCATGATACACAACTATCACGTTATTTCATGATACACAACTATCATGTTATTTCATGATACCAATTTATCAGAAGCTGACAGCTTCTTCTTCTTCTTCTGTATCTACAGTATCATGTTATTTCATGATAAACTGGTATCATGAAATAACATGATAAATTGGTATCATGAAATAACATGATAAACTGGTATCATGAAATAACATGATAGTTGTGTATCATGAAATAACATGATATTTATCATGTTATTTCATGAAAGTATCATGAAATAACATGATACCAGCAAACAAAAAACACACTCACAAGTGAACCTAACAAGCTTCCGTACTTACACACATTTGTACTCAAACTATATTTTAGAATAAACTTAAAATAGATTGGACCAAGTTAAATGTATTCATTCTAGTGCATCACATGCAACACTATACAAAAGGTTTCACTAACTGACTTTGGGATTTTGAAGCCGCGGACTCGCTGGCCTCTCTCTTTCTGCTCCCCTCCCCGCACCCACGAAGCTATTGCCCCCCACACACACCCACTGTTGTTGACGGAGCTAGCGTCTCCCAATATGGATAAATTCATGGACATGGATTTGCACGAGGATGGCGTGACCATAGAACGATAGAACCGGGAAGCGCGGAGGTATGGGACTTTCTTTTGGATGGCTGTCTCGCTGTGTAAGCAGTAACCGGTGACGAAGACGAGGAAGTTTCAGGTTAGCCCCTCGGCCTGCTGTGCTAACTCAGCTGTCTGTGCTAACGGACCTGTAGATTTCTCACGAAAGTGGGGGCTAGTGGTGCGCTGTGATTGGTCACAATCAGAGACCTGAAACACATTCTCTTGCTTGTTTCATCAAAACTCGATCTAAAATATAATGTCACACCAGCACAAATCTGCGCTACTTTTTCTTCAAAAGGACGTATATCCCAATGCACTACATGAATAGCATTTTCGTAATTAATACAAAAATAAAGTCAGTTAGTGCAGCTTTAAGTCGATTCAACTTCAACCAATGAGTTCTCTCTGCTACACTTGTATGATTTGAGTTTTACAAAGAAAATCATTGACCATCCGTGGTTAGAGCTAAAACCGCTTGAGTGCAATTAACTTTTGGGTTAACAGTGAATGTGCTTGCAACAGATAGTCTGTAGTGTGGTTAAGTACAAAAACACACATTTATATACATTCCAGGGAATATATCCCAAGGGCGTGTGTTCATTTGGCTGCTCTTCATACGCATCTCATACAATCTCATTACGATAACAAAAGAGCCTGTGCTGAGAATGCACTACAACTTAATAAGACCAGGGCCCCTCCTCTGTCTCTTCAGAACAATTGTCGCATGTGAAAATTGCATGCCGTTGGCCTCAGGGTTTGATAAAGGGAGACTTTGCCTAATGCTTCCGTAAATGCGTTAGGCAAAGTCTAACAGTAGGTAATTGGGACTAATATATTTACACAGGATTGATTTGCCCTCATTCGCCCTCTGGATACCAGGGAAAATGGTGGTCAGTACGGCTAGGTCAAGGAAACGCAACTTCGAGTCAGCTAACATGATTAGTATTTACTGTTCATTGCTCACAAGACATTTGTTCTTTCTAATAACACTGAACCATTGAAAGTTAAGTTTCTCTGTGTTAATTGTAGTTTTAAAGGACACACGTTATGCAAAATAGTCTCTTTTTAAGCTTTTAACCATTTCAAAACATTGTCCCTCATCAAAAACAGTACTGGCTCTTCATCTATGCTAATGCTGATGTGAAAAAAGTGCAAATAGGCCCATGCCGGAATATGTTTATGGGACACAATCTAAATAAAAGTAAGCACCACAAAAATTTTCTAGGTATGACATTCATCTCAGAGGGTAGAATGTTGAAGTATTTCACTCTGTTTGGCCTCACTTCTGGTGCATAAAAGCATTTTTCTTGTATGCCTCGTTTGGACCGTAATGTGGTTAGGTGTAGTGGTTCTTCTGCTGTTTCCGTGTTGGGTCTTCTTTGTTATCATCGCTATTACTGTTATGCAGATTCTGGATATGTTGAACAGCCCTAAATAGTAGCGCTCATTTCCCCTTGTTTGAATATGTCACTTGTGTAGTGAATGTAATGGACGAGTAGACCCAGAGCCTATTTGATCCTATATCTTAAGCAGTCGGAACATCTAGTTTTGTATTCTTAGCCTAATGATTTACTGGCTTATGACAATATGTAGGAGGCCAGTTTTTGTAGTTCTCAACATAATCATGCTTTCATAATCTCTGCCTTTGTTTAGGTGGCTATCGTGCTGCACTTTGTTATCTTGTCATTACAGGAGACAAACCTGGGGCACGGTGGTTATGCAAAAGGTGTAATGAGATCATTAGGGAAAGGCCAGAGGGCTAATACCGGGACCTTTTGGCCTTTGGTTTTGACACCTGCCCTTAGAGACAGGGCGACAGAAACCTCTAGCCTGTCCACCTAACACAATGTGTGAAACTGCACTTCAGCCAGAGGAAAGGCTAGGGACAGCCTTGTATTTTCAATTACTCTACTGTCTGTAACACACTTTTTCTTCTAAACCTAAAGGTGCACTATGTACGTTTTCTAGTGAATGGTCTATCATCCGCTTGTCTCATTAGAGATGTATTGCCTGTATGACGAATGTTGAGAATCTATTGACATTTGATATGGTGATTTGAAAAGGAGCGTTTTAACACTTGGAAGGTGGGCTTTGGACCGGATCAGATTTTTGAAGGACCTCTGCCTCATCTGGCTTGCGGGCCAAATGCCATACTATAGTTTGCTAATGTATTGGTTAATTACTTCTGACCCCTTCTTGCTTTGCTTTTTTAAAAAGGAGCAAACTTGGACTTCCTTACTTCACGTAAATCCAGACTGACAACTGCATTGATTTACCGTCCGTATTCCAACAAAGGAAAAGCGAATGAACAAAACGTAACGGGTTGATATTTTACCTCTTAACTCCCTCCTCTTTATCAGGTTAGGGGGCTTCATTAATCATAGTGTCGACAGCTTTAGCCCGGGGACCTCTCTGCTTTCCGTCCAATTAGCCAAAGCAGAGACAATAGGAACAAGTTGCAAATTTAGGTGAAAAAAGAGCTACTCCCTTACCTTATAACTCCAGCACAAATTCCGTCATTGATCAGAGGGCTTTTGCAACGTCCCTGGAGCGTGGCAGATATTATTACGTCTGCATTGATTTTTTTTTTTTTTTTTTTTAGGAGAGCAAAGTGTCTCTAAGCAATTAAAAAAAATTACAGTTCGGAAGTGGGCCAATTAAAATGCCCCCAGCGAGAAAAGAGAGGGGGGGTGGTCCGGACTGTTGCCTTTTAAAAATGCAAGGGCAGGGGAATTATAGGCGCTTGGCTGATTTTGGAGGGAGCTGTTGTTACGTCCAGGACATAATGGGAATCAATCATTGTAATGTGTTTGTAATGGAAGTCCGTGAATAGTAAGGCCATCGAACAGGCTGCGGTCGTGTTAGTAGAAGCTTGGAAATGGATAAGGAGAACGTGTAATCCAAGTAATGAAGATTTGACATTAAAAAAAGAAGTTGGCTGTGGCTTGCATTGTTTTCAAAAGACATTTTCAGTGCAATATCATACTAACCCTACTGCACAAATCAAGTATAGATGAACTTGATTTCATTATCATATCATCATATATTTCAAATCATATTGTCGATAAAAAAGGGGAAACACTTGTACTGTTACATCTAATGAGTAGTTATACAGAGACAGACTTGTACTGTTACATCTAATGAGTAGTTATACAGAGACAGACTAACTCCATAGGGGATATCTCCAGAGACAGTTCGGAACCCACCACAACAGAAGTTATCCATAAAACCTCAGCTCAGCATAAACTTTCTTTATGATGAGGACATAAAGGTTGTCCTCATCGCAGCATTTAGATTCATTTAAACACATGCATTCTTCTGGAGGAGAAATATTCTTTGCGATCCCAATTGAGTCTGGGTTGGGCCCCGGGATAATCCAAATTGGCTAATACGGTAAACATTGTCCCAAAAAATAAAAATGTGCCTGGGGTTTTCATAAACAGTATTTGGAAGTACTGGGACAACACGTTTTATCAGGCTGTGCGCTGTTTGAAGTTGCGTTCTTTAATCCATGGAGCATTCTAATACATTTCCTGGTGCTGGATTAAAAACAGTAACAATGGCAGTGTGGTGAAAACAAACGCACACGACGGTAAGCTCTCCATACAGCCCGCTCTCCTCCAATAACCCCCTGGATTGTTTATATATTTAGGCTCTGATTTAAATAAAAAGCAAGGAATTTACAGTTTGTGGGTTCAGAGGTGGCTTGCTGTGTAATCTACTACATTTTGTTTACTAGAGGAATGTATAGAAGCTAGTTTTCCATTAAAATGAACATCATCAAAGTGTGTGTGCGTGTGCGTGTGTGTGATGGTAAAAACGAGCTGGTCTAGATAATATCCTCACAATAATGTATACTGTGTTTTCAAGGTTTCTCATAATATCTATTTCAACCCTGCTGCTTAGTGTGTTGACTTGTGACTTCATGTCATTTGAGATTGTTGTGTAATGTATTTTGAGTGTTGTTTTTTTTAATACTGTGATAGCAAAGGTAGGTGGAGAAAGAGAAACTAACATTAAGTGAATACCATTAAAGAACCTTATATGAAATCGGCAACAGAGTACTCACTTTAGGGCTGTTTCCATGGGCTCGACTCTACTTAACTTGACTCTTTTAGCAACGGCTTGGCTCTGGTTCTAGCTGGGCTGAGTAGATACCAAAACAATCTGATGTCGTGGAACATCAATTGTGATTGGTCAGAGGTGCTGTCAATTACTCTTCAGCTGGTGCGTCAGCTGTTGCGAAAAACTCCTCCCTTGACTTTGAGTTATGTTGCAAGCACATTTAGCATGTGGTCTGAGGAAGACGTTTGGGCAGCCAGAGTATTAGTCATTAAAGAGATTTCCGGTTCCAAGATATCCAAGTTTTAACAAAATGAGATTCAGAGCAAAGAGAAGACAAGCTATTTTAAAAGTGAATGTCATTTACTTTTTTAAATTGCCACAGTGACAGTGAATTTTATTGAAGAATAGCACTTGTTAGACCCACCCATGCTCTAACCTGCAGCCTCCTAATTGGTCAAAAAATACTTAATGCACATGATTGTATAGTGTCCAATGGTCAGAAATTATTTTCAAAATGCAATTTTGCCTTTAATGAAACAAGCGACATGAGTCACAGCTATCACTGAGCACGTGTTTGAACATTACACAGGTCTATTCAAAAGGGCTATCCAATGTTTAATTTTGAAACCCTGTCATACAATTTTATAATATTATGCTCTTTATGAGATGCAAAAAATCTTCATATTCAGCACAAGTCACAATAACCAGCCATGTACCTCCCACCATAAATGTTCATCCTCATGGTTCCACGTGAAGGACCATCTGTGCCTTTCCAACTCTGCATTTGCAATATTACAGGAAGATTTATAGACATCTGCAAAGTTATAACCATTTTGAAGACCTGCAACGTATTCCGTTTAAAGTGATAAATTCTCAACATAAAAATGAGCACAGGATTTTGTCATAATCTTCCAATGGTTGCCTCGGGGCCTTTCCAAAATGGCCATTTGCGAAAGTTATCTGTTACAAGTGAGCAGGTGAAAAAACACTCCAAAATCTTTGCAGAACATTTTTCTCCTTTATTATTATGACTATATTTCCAGTTCGCTTTGACTAAAAAACAGGTGGTCTGATGGCCTCCCCAGACGGCTATCATAACGACACGCTTTCCGAACGCATTTGGGGAGATCGGACGAAAACGATACGGCGGAAGAGGAGCCGAAAGGAAAGCCCGATTGTGCACGGTTAGGGGGACTTTGGGGGCAGATAACCGGGGGGGCGGGCCAGTCATGGAGTGCCACTTGCATTACCGGGACTGTGGCATCAAGGGCCAAGAGAAAGGGGCCCCTATTTTGCAAAGCTCCCCGGGAGGCGACGGTGAAAAACAGCGATGGACTTAAAAGTGTTGAATAATGTGAGGATGTAAGGGGACTCTATGGGGGGAATCTTGAGTTATGTTTAGTCAACGGCGTGCTACGTCTGGACAGTTTTAGTAGGTCGTCTTAAAAGTGACAATTTAACTCAACCAATTACTTTTCTTGTTGACAGAGAATTCATGGTATATGTTGATAGAAGTTTTAGTCAAGATATGTTTGTGACATCCATTCACCTCTAATCAGAAAGTCAGTTACTGTATCTGACCGATTTAAAGATCCATTCAACAAGATAAGATCTGGTCTGCTCCTGTTCTGGTTGGGATTAGAACCTACAGCCACACCTGCTCTTTGGGGACTGGTTTTACACCCCTGAACTAGAGGCATTTTGAGTTGAAAAAATACGTGATAATATTTTAAGGTGTTTAATTTTAAGTAAAAAAACTGAGATTAGACTAACAAATATAATCTGATTTTATCATAAAAAAAAAAAACATTTTATACAATACAATACTATTTATTCTTGTATAGCCCTAAACCATTGAAATCACCAACACAGCTCAGAGAATCAACATTTAAGACACACAAAAAATACACACATGTATTGGTCCATAGGGAGAGACCAATGTCCATGAATGTTGATAAATGTCCATACATGTTGTAGAATGATAGTGTCCTGGATCATCACCACAGTCCTTCTTGCTAGATACTAACTGTCCAACAGAACCTCATGCATCGACAAGGAAAAAGTCTAAAACCCAGTGGGAGAAAAGTGAGAAACCTCGGGAAGATCCACATTGAGAGGGGGATGCGCTCCACACGGACAGACGGGCTATAAATCCAGGACCTAAGCTACAGAACAAGGACTAGGGCCACACAGCGGCCGCAGAACGTGGACAGGTCCTGTGCAGTACTGAAGCAGCTCCCAGGCAGGTCCGCAGGTGTAGATGGACAAGGCTGGTTCAGAGGTCCCCGTAGATGAATAGTAATGAAGAGGCTATAGTCAAAATCCTAGACCGGTCGTACCACTCCGTAGTACAAATTAAATTTCGTACTAAGGTCTGGAGGTGCTCCATTGAGCTCTATTTACAGGTGGGAGGGGTTACCTGCTTTTGCAGATTGAAACGATTGGATCTGAGTTTACTGTGACGTATGTAATGCGCCCGAGTGAGTCGTTTGCATTTAGCCTAGCCATCTCCTATGCCACTAACGGAGCCCGTGGGGAGTAGCGCCACAATTTATTCTAGCGATTACATTTGCTAAACATTCCTATTGCTCCGGCTTCAATTTCTTGATAGAACCAGACCAGAACACTTTACTATCGCATTTTTCACTATAGCCAAATTACGACCTTCCCGTTTGACGCAAACTCTTGATGTCACCCACAACTAACTACAACACCTGCCTCCTGCGCTCGCTGGTAGGTCGGTCGAAATTTAAGGAGAGACTCAAGAGGCTCAAGTTACCAATACTTCTCCCAGCAAACTGACTCCCTACGCAGCTTGACTGACAATCCAAGTTGTTTAGCCTTCCATGAGTCTTACCTTCCTAGCCATATGCTTAACGGAAGAGGACTGTTTTAAGCCTAGCCTTGAATGTAGAGAATGTGTCCGAACGAAGGAGACAGCAGCAGGTTACACACAGAGTGTGTAAACCAAACCAGTTCTCTGCTTGTAAATCAGCGCCTGTCACTACTTCTGTCTGTGCAGAGAAGCTAGCGGAGCTAGCCACGCTCAATAAACAAATATCAATCAACTAACACCTTTAAATTTTAATCGAGGAATACATTATACATATACATTCTTAACACAAATGCACGGAGGTTTTCAGAATTATCTGTTTACGTTTTCATGACAAAACTCCTCTTTTAATGTGACAAAAAGCGATCGCGATAAATCCGGAAGTAACCATTAACATGAAACGAACCTTTTAGGACACATTTGAAGAGGATCTGATTATGGATTTAGGTTCAGTATATAAATGGGTAACTCACCGCTGATGTTCAGAATTCTTTGTTCAGTTTTCATGTAGTTCCAGAGAGTTTTTGAACTAGCTAGCTTAGCTGTTACCCACCTAGCACGTCACGGCGAAACCTTTGGAAGATAACTATTTTATTTGCAGTCAATTTCGAATATAAAGGGCTGTCTAATATTCGTTCAAATATATATGTATATATATTTTTTTTAATTTTCAAATTATATTTGAATATTGAATTTCAAAGTCAAAGCCCTAGTGTCAAAGCCCTAGTGTTCTCCACTGTGAGACTAATAAAGGTTTATCGTATCTTATCTTATCTTACCAGCGCTGTAAAAGCTAGAGGACGCGGCTTGTTTGCCCCTCGTTCTGTGAGTGGAGGAGAGCGGGCGTCTCGCTAAGTCTCTACCCAGAAAATTACGGATTATAATACAACTTGTATGTAGTAATTAGCATTTTTATGAACTCATTAGAAAATTTTTTTTGGATGGGAGGTTGATTCCACAGTAAAGGAGCTTGGTAGCTAAATGCTCTGCCACCGACAGTGCTTTTTGAGACCTTAGGAACCACCAGACTAGGGATGTAAAAAACTATGAATTTTCATGACTGACCACCGAGCCTCATTAACCGGTTGAAACCGGTTAACCGCGTAGTTTAAAATATTCCACGTTCTTAGAAATAACTGCCATTTCGAGCCGCGTACTTCTCATAAGTGCAGCTGAGCGTTCTAACAGGACCAGAACCGAGACAGCGGCGCCAAAACCAGCAACTGTTTCGGCATCTTTGCGCACAGAGAACTGCTTTTTTAATCTTCCTATTCTTCTGTGCTGTTAAAAAACTTTTTAACAGCAAACAATGGCTCGTCCACATGGTCAGAGCAGCGAGTGACAAGCCGCGTCTCGCAGGTCTTCGCAAAAGTTTAAATACAAGTGATGTGTGTGGAGCTGATCTAATGCCAAGGACCATAAACACAAACATGGTCCATATGGTTTGACTGGAGCCGCGTATTTGCGCGAATCCTTTGGGCTCCGTAACACAGAGGAGCGCGACAGACAGTTACGTGTGTGTGTGTACAATACATGTATGTGTGTGTGTATGTGTGTGTGTATGTGTGTGTAAATGTAAGCTCCAGTGTAGTTCTGACCCGCACCAGTGTGCAACTTTGACGGTAACAGAGGGGAGAGATGATGCGTGTGGATGTTACGTATGGAGAGGGGGAAAGTGTGTGTATGTGTGTGTGTGTGCGCGTGCATATGTGGCGCGTGCGGCATGAGAGTCGGCCCGGAGTTTATAATACATTGGCGCACACAGCTAGAGACGGACCCGCTCGTCACACCGTGCAAATAGGGCTTAAAATAGCGTTATTAAGAGACCTCCCCACTCCCCTTTTCTATTTTTTAACCGACAGCTTTGTCCGGTTAACGCTGTGACGGTCAACCACCGGTTAAACAGTCACCGATTTACATCCCTACACCAGACGTCTGGCTTTTAGCGAGCGCAGTGCTCGGTTTGGTTGAAATGACACTAACGTGTCTTGAAGATAAGAAGGAACCAAGCCATTTTAGGCTTTGTATGTTAAAAGAAGGATTTTAAACTTTATTCTGTACTCCACGGGAATCCACTCTTCTTGGTGGATTTGCTGAAATTAGCCCTTTTTTTCCATGGCCTGTCACAAATATTTTGTCCACAACTTTGAGTTCATTCAATAAGAGCTGCAGAGTGGAGTTCCGCTTTTTACTCAGGTCTGTCAAGAATGAAGATGTTCATAACATACTGAGAGGGGCCTCCAAGTAAAGAAATAACATCTATATGGCAACTAATGTTGTTTACTTGTCCAACCAAGTCATATTTCACATAAAAGTCTACTGCTGCTATTGTGGGCCCGTCCCAAATCGCGCACTTGCGCACTATGCACTTTGAGAACTGCGGGACGTAGTAGTTCAGCTGTATTTTCTCCATGTTGAAATGTTCCCTAATAAAAAAATAATAAAAAAAAAGTTTTATAAAAAAAAAAATAAAAAACTTTGGCTTGAAGTTCAATTAACAACAATAACAGTCTTGTAAAATAATTTTCATCAAATAACCCTGAGAGAGGGTTTCTTTTCAGACTGTTCCTGTGAAAAAGAAGAGAAAACGTAAAAAGAAAGACATTTTAAAGAACGATAACCTACGTCTTTTTAGGACTCACTGCACAAGCCTAAACTGTAATATCACACATGTATTACAAATCACACATGTTTTGGGTCGATATCATCAAACCGATACCCAATTCATTACAATCTTTCTATAATCAATTTCCCACAAAATGATTTCAGCTAGCCTTCTACTGGATGCTTTCTTGCCTAACATTTTGCAACATGGTCTAAACATTTCAAAGACGTAATTCAACCCCTGAGCTTATATCTGTTCCTTACACATTTTTTTGTCCCATCTCTTCTGTACTCTTTTTGACAGC